TATTGGATCTATCTTCTACAATACTCCAGACACCCCCAGTTTCTTCTTTCAAAAAGGGTCAGTGATGTACTTTGCTGTGCTTATGAACGCCCTACTTACGATCAACGAAATCCTCCAACTCTATGCTCAGCGTCCTGTTGTCGAGAAGCAAGCGGGATATGCATTTGTCCACCCATTCACTGAAGCACTAGCCAGCCTTGTCGTCGATCTACCGATCAAGATTATACGAATCTCAATATTCACAGTAGTCCTCTACTTCATGGCAAACCTACGCCGCGAAGCAGGTGCGTTCTTTACCCATTACCTATTCTTGCTCACTGCAGTCTTGGCCATGTCTGGCCTGTTCCGCAGCATCGGCGCATTGACCAAAACTGCCGGGCAGGCCATGGCGATAGCTGGTGTACTTGTGCTCTGCATTGTCGTTTATACCGGGTTCACTCTCCCGCAGCCGTACATGCATCCGTGGCTTTCGTGGATCCGGTGGATCAACCCTATCTACTATACCTTCGAAGGGCTCGTAGCCAATGAATTCCATGATCGAACATTTGACTGCTCCGCATTCATCCCAAGTTATGGAACTGGCACGTCTTTTATCTGCTCCACTGTCGGTGCAGTCGCCGGTCAGCGAACTGTATCTGGGGATGCCTTCATCGAGAAGAACTACCAGTACAAGCACTCTCATCTCTGGCGGAACTACGGAATCCTCATCGCCTTTTTCATCGCCCTCAATGCGCTTTACTTGATCGCCACAGAGTACATCACTGATGGCAAGTCAAAGGCCGAGGCCTTAGTTTTCCGCCCTGGACATGCGCCCAAGTATCTCCAGGAAGGTCACAGCATCGAGCTTGGAATGGAGGAGGTCAACAAGCTCGAGCTGCAGAGGACCAATGACACCATCCGTCTACCTGAGCAAAAGGACATTCTCTCATGGAAATCCCTCAACTATGACATCCCCGTGAAGGAGGGCACCCGACGGCTTCTGGACAATGTCAATGGCTGGGTCAAGCCTGGGAGCCTGACAGCATTGATGGGTGTTTCTGGAGCTGGAAAGACAACACTACTTGATGTTCTTGCGCAGAGAGTCTCCATTGGTGTCGTCTCTGGTGATATCTTCGTCAACGGCAAGACCCTTGCGGCAAACTTTCCCCGTCGGACTGGATACGTGCAACAGCAAGACCTTCATCTTGACAGCACTACCGTGAGAGAAGCTTTGCGTTTCAGTGCTATGCTTCGTCAGCCCCGAAAGGTTACCAAGCGAGAGAAGTATGAGTACGTGGAACAAGTCATCCAAGTCCTAGGCATGGAAGATTTTGCCGAAGCGGTGGTGGGAAGCCTGGGAGAGGGTCTCAACGTCGAGCAAAGGAAACTGCTTAGTATTGGTGTCGAACTTGCTGCAAAGCCTACCCTGCTTATCTTCCTCGACGAACCTACCAGTGGTCTCGACTCCCAAAGCTCTTGGACTATTTGTCAGTTCCTCAGGAGACTTGCAGATCACGGCCAGGCTGTCCTCGCAACAATCCATCAGCCTAGCGCGCAGTTGTTCCAAACTTTCGATCGTTTGCTCTTCCTTGCCAAGGGAGGAAAAACCGTCTACTTTGGCGATATCGGAAACCAATCCTCCACTCTTCTGAAATACTTCGAGCACAATGGGGCTCGGCCATGTGAGCAACTCGAGAACCCCGCTGAATATATGCTGGAAATGGTTGCCGGCGATTCGTGCACAATAGACTGGGTCGAAGCCTGGAACAAGAGCCCAGAGTATGAAGATGTACAGGCTGAGGTCGAACGACTTCATCACGCCCGCAAGCCATCTGTTCATCGACCCTCCCTTGCCGAGTCTGACGAATTTGACGACAACTCGGAGTTCGCCATGCCACTCAGCAGCCAGCTGTACTATGTCCTTGCACGAGTCTTCCAGCAGTATTACCGTCAGCCAGAATACGTCTACTCCAAGTTCATTTTGGGTATTGTGTCTGGCTTATTCATCGGCTTCTCGTTCTGGAAAGCAGACAACACCCAACAAGGCTTCCAAAACGTGCTCTTCAGTATTTTCCTTTTGTGCACGATCTTCAGCACCCTTGTCAACCAGATCATGCCGAAATTCGTCGCCCAGCGCTCCCTTTACGAAGTCCGCGAACGCCCATCCCGCATCTACTCCTGGAAAGTTTTCATCCTATCTCAAATGCTCGTCGAGATTCCCTTCCAAGTCTGCCTCGGCATTTGCTCCTGGGCCTGCTTCTACTGGTCCGTCTTCGGCGCCGACCAAGACTCCGAACGCCGCTCGCTGATCATGCTCTTCATCGTACAATTCTACATTTATGCCGCAAGCATGGCACAGCTAGCTGTCTGCGCAATCCCGGAGCCCGCACTCGCAGCTATGCTTGCTACACTGATGTTCGGTCTTTCCTTCATCTTCAACGGCGTAATGCAGCCGCCAGATGATCTCCCCGGCTTCTGGATCTTCATGTACCGTGTCTCGCCATTTACCTACTACATCGGCGGGATCGGGGCCACAGCCCTCCATGGTCGCCCGGTTGAGTGCAATGCTGCCGAGATGAGTATCTTTGATCCGCCTGCTGGCCAGACTTGCTTCCAGTATATGGAGAAGTACCTCGCGACTGCCCCCGGCACGCTTGCTAATTACAATGCTACTTCCGGTTGTGAGTACTGCTCTCTCAGCTCGGCGGATCAGTACCTCGCTGGGAGGAAGATTGAGTGGGGTGATCGCTGGAGAAACTATGGAATCTTCTGGTGCTACTTCATTTTCAATATCTTTGCTGCCATTACGCTCTATTACTTGTTCAGGGTGCGAAGCTCTAAGGCTAAGACAAAGAAGGCTTGATAGGTTCAGTTGGTAGTTGGTCTGAGAATGTTTTGCATTTTGCTTGTTTCCCTGACTCCACTCCATATGATGATCTCTGCTCTTGTATACTTACTGCATACATGTCATATATATACAGTAAATAGAAAAAAGGCCAACTATTAGCGCCTTGCAAGAGAAGGTTACCCGACACAAAGGTTACATGACGGTTGCCTGGGATGGCTGTAAGAACATTGACATTCCCTGGCATCGATTCAAAGTCAGGCCTTCTTCTGTAAGTTTGCGATACTTTCCAATAGCTCTACATCTGTCGATAATGAGTTTTGCTACTCCTTTTTTTCTAGAGTGCCCTAGAGGAGACTCAAATTCAGAGTCGTGTTCGCTATAACACTTCCGGCAAAGAGGTCCAGCTGATGATGAATGCGTACCCGATCACTTCTTTCCCGGACAAGACGATTCGCTAGTACGAGGTGAGTGTTTTTCATTCCTACACATGTGTTCAATGCCATTGTTTGCTTATCAATTACCAGATCAATACTTAATTCTGCACAAAGACCAAATGAGACCGACAGGCGCGTCCTCAGAAAGTGCTGGAACAGTGAGACTCGAAAGGCATACATTCCTAATGGTATTTGGGACGGCGGTGGAAGATCTGCTGGTAAGTATAATATCTTTCTGAATGCCATGGATTTTCTGGTCTGTGTTATTGCAGCTACGAAACTTTGACTGGAATGAGGTTATCGACATGAAGGGCCTAAAGACACCAAAAAAGATAAGCTGATACCTGCCTCCTTTACACACACTGATAAAAGACATTGTCTTAATATTTTTGAATAACAAAACCGAGATTTCAGGCATATTTTGGATAAACCTGTCCCAGCCTTAAGCCTGTTTATGGGACATTAGCACCGCTCAGCTCGAGCTCTTCCTGTCCTTGCTGTGTCCATCCCCTCGGTGGTGCCTGCACCTCATAGTTCCAACCCAAGGTATCCTCGACAGTTCCAGATTGTATACCACGAAGGGTTTGCAGCAACTTAACGCAAACCTCGCCACCCTCCTTCTGAGCCCCGCAACGGTACTCAAACTTATCACCACGGGACTGCATCGTAATACTACCCACAGGCACTAACGCCGCCGCCGTACCAGCAGCTATAACCTCATCAAACTCGCGCAGCTCCTCATAAGCAACCCGCCTCTTCTCCACCCGGTACCCCAGCGTGCGGGCAATTTCCAGCACCGACGCCGCGGTAACCGAGTCAATTGCATTCCGGCTATCCGGCTGGATCACAGTGACCTGATCTCCGTCACGTTTCACTCCGATGAAAGCAGAAGTCGAGAACTCGTCAACTTCAGTGCGAGTCGCACTATCCAAATGAAGGGTAATCCCAAACCCTTCCCGCCGCGCCCGGTCGCTGTGCCGCAGCACAGGCGCATAATTTCCACCAACCTTAGCAGCACCGGTTCCATGCGGTGCACAGCGATCAAAATCCTCCAAGATCAGCGCTTCAACCGCGCTAGCCCCGTGGTACACGCCAGTCGGCATAGCAAATACAGCCAGCGTGTACCCATCCGGTGGACTTAGCCCCAGCTGCGCAGAGGAGCCGAAGAGTATGGGTCGGACATACATCGCAGCGCCGGAGTCGTGGGGTGGTACATACTCGGCGTTTGCACCAACAGCCAACCGCACGCACTCGATGAAAAGATCCTCCGGAACGGGAGGCATGGAGACTACTTCCGCGGAGTACTGCATGCGCTTGGCGTTGCGGTCGGGGCGGAAGATGGTTATCTTGTCATTGGCTGGGTGGCGGAAGGCTTTAAGGCCTTCGTAGACTTGCTGGCCGTAGTTTAGGCCCGGTGCCATCCCATGCACTGGTAGGAAGGGCGAGGCGACGAATTGCGGGGCTGACCATTTGTTCTCACCGCTGTGGGAGAAGTGGATTTCGACATGGCCATTTCCTGATATGAATAAGAATCTACTGTTTACTACCTACATACGTATGTAGGTAAAGGGCAATTGCTTACCATCCCGGACTTTAAAGCCCAGGTTATTCCAATCGAGTGCAATGGGTGGCGGGGGGAACATAATGAAGAATTGTGGAATTATCAATGCGGGGAGCCAAGCGCTTATTTATATCTGTGGGAGTTTCTATAAGGTTTTTTGTGACTGTGCTGACTCAAATCAGATCCCAACCTCCGTGACTGGCAGGTCGCTATAGCCTTGCATTTGTAGGCTGCGTCCATAAGCCGTCACTAAACACACTTTCAGTTTGCCTGGGATCTCATGCTGCGAGAACTTCTTGTACATCTCCGCGATGTTCTCGAATTCGTCCACATACGTGAACATCCATGCCGTATCCACTTTGCCTTGCACCACCAGATCCATTAAGAACGGAAAATACTGTACCTGGTAAGCTATCAATTCGAAATTGAAAGTAAAGGACCCGACTCACCTTTTGGGGCCACGTTTGACCCCCGCGGACTGTCAGCGCTTTCTGCATCATGGGCCCAATCGGGAAATCACGCGTCGTGAAGAAGAAATCCCCAACCAATGCCACATTACCACCCTTACGGGTTGCCTTGATGATTGCCGCCAATGTATCACTACTATCCTTCTCCATCCCAATCGCCTGCATAGCTGGATACTGCTCTTTCCCGCAACAACGGTACCCACTAGCCTCAATAGACCGATCAAGGCCGTGATCCTGAATCGACAGGATGTACTCAGCCACATCCGGATGACTATCCACATCAACAGGAGTCATGCCAAAGTCCTCCGCAATCCGCAATCGCTGAGCATCCTTATCCATGGCAAAGACTTTCTTCGCGCCACGAAGCTTCGCCAGTCGCTGCGTGGCGAGACCAATAGGCCCACAACCCCAAACACCCAGCACATCTCCCTCCTGCACCTCAGCCAACTCCAGCGCATGCCAAGCGGTGGTCACGACGTTTGGCAAACCCAGCAATTTCCGCGCATCGATAAACTCTGGCGCCCTGACACACGATAGGTCTGCATGCGGCACGCGGCAGTACTCCGCCTGGTCACCTGGATACCCACCACAGAGCCGGCTGTAGCCCAGCTTGCCGCCGACTCGGTGGCCATACGCGGCTTCCATTTCCTTGGATGTGTTTGTGTTGTCGCAGAGGGAATACTGCTGTCGCTGGCAATACTCGCAGGTACCGCATGAGATGACGGGTAGGATGATGACCCGGTCACCTACTTTGAGGGTTTTGACCTCCGGCCCGACTTCTTCTATCATTCCGATGGCTTCTTGGCCGAGGATGTCGCCTTTTTCCATTGCGTCTTTGAGCTGGCCCTCGTATAAATGGATGTCGGAACCGGAGATCGTGCAGTGCGTGATTTGGACTATGGCGTCGCTGGGGTCTGTAATCTTCGGCTTGGGTACGACTCCCACTTCGACGTGGCGGGTACCCATCCACTGCGCTGCCTTCATCATTTTGGTAGGGTGCGGCGTATATGCCATGCTACTTTACGTTAGAGTGAGGCTGGCTGTGTGCGGTGGCGACACTTACCTAGGCATTGTGGCCGCCATGGTTGGGAGTAGTCGTCTATCACCAACGCAAAATAATAGTTCGAATGAGTTTAAGGGGATTGATCGACTGACAGTTGATACTGCCAACGTACAATCATTTGCTCCTATTGTTGAAGATTGGGCTATGCCAAAATTGGAGCAATGGCAAATTAACATCAAGATGATGCCACATAGAATCACCCCGTAGATGAGTGGCCGAAAGCCATAGAATTGCCATGAATGGTCCTATGGTCTTTCAGAACACATGTCCGAGCCGGAAATCAATGCCGGCTATTATCCAAATACCCGACCCAATGGCTGAGGTAGTAAAGAGTCGATATGTTGTACACTTTACCTTGACAGAAATACAAATTCAATGTTCAACCACACTATTTGAAATGGAAGTTACATTTCTTGTTCAGCATTGGTTCAATATCATACATACACTGGTGAAAACAATGTACAGGACTATTTCGATGTTAACAGGGGTAAGAAAGCAAGGGATCGTATGCCTGCAAAAACAATAGGATATCTTGAAAAGCAAAACGTGCATCTTAATTGGACCGCTGGGGGTAGGGCTTGCGGAGTTTGACAGACTGGCCGTCGGGCATAATGTCGCCGGACTCACTGTCGCTCTTGCTATCATCGTCACTGCTTGAGTCGGACTCAGACTCAGACTCAGACTCAGACTCGCTGGAGCTGGGCACTTCGTACACATCACTGCGGGGGGCCGGGGCAGACTTGGGCTCGGGTCGCAGCTTAGCAGCCATTTCCTGCTTTTGGCTGCTCAGCATGTCCTTGAGGGTTATACTCGATTTTTTGGCGACAGGCTCCCGAGGTGTGGACTTTGCCGCCTCCAGCTTCTCTTCATAGGCTTTCAGGTCTTGGCGCAAGCCTTCAAGCCGGACGCGGAGTGGCTTTCGCCTGACCAATTCGAGCTTGGTGTTGGCCAACCTCCGCAAGAGCGTCTGCATCTCGGTCAAAACGACCACAAGCCGAGGTTCGAAGGTTTCCCGAAGCTTGCGCTCGATTTCTGTCCTCTCCGCGAGTTCCTTCTCCCTTTGTACTTTCTCGTCCGCTTTAGCCTGTGCCTTCGCCTTCTTTTCGATCTCAACTTCCTGGGTCAACTGGTCGATATCAAAGCCGGGCGGGTAGACCACTTGACTACTGGATGGCGTTGCCTGGGTATGCTCGAAAGCAGATTTTGGTGTTTGGTTATTGACCTTGGTCTTAGGCGTGACTTTGCTAGACGTAGAGGTCGAAGGTGTTCCTAGTGTGGATTTCACAGCGGTGGGCTTCTCCTGAGCAGACTTGGCCTTGGGTGTGGCCTTTCGTGTGGTTGCGCTCGAAGGCGTCCCCTGGGTAGTGTTAGTGCTGGGGGCGGATTTGCTAATCGTAGCATTGCGCGGCGTGGAGCGTGGAGCGGTATCCAAGCCAGAAGCAAGGTCCTCTCCCTCGGCGAAAGACACGGATCGCCTCTCAGTTGCCGGAGAATCCTTGCCACGGATAGCGGATTGCAGCTTTTTCGTTCTGTCAATCACGGGAGTGTGTTTGTTAACAGAAGTAAAAGAAGGCGCACTGGTAACAGGGACGTTGCTACTTGGGAAAAGCGACCCGGCAAAAGAATTCTGAGTGGATGTTACGTCAGATTCTTGCGAAAGGTCTAAGCTGACAGGCTGCTTGCTAGGAGGGCTCTGTGTAATGCCCAGCCCAATTCCAAAGGGATGAGGCTTAGGAGGCGCTTCGTTCTCCTCCCGGACGCTGGCTTGTCGAGCTGGGCTCGAGAAAGAAGGCGCACGGACCCGTTTGTGCAGTGGGCTAGTTTGGGCAGCTGGCGACTTCGACATGGACTGACGAGCCTGTTGGGAGGGCACAACGACTGCAGGCACAGACCGGGGAGGGGTAGATGGGCGGGTCGAGGGATGGCCCTGTCCTTGGCGAGCTTCTTTGACCGATGTGGGCTCTTCGGGGGCTTGCTTCCGCTTGCGAGATCGAGTCTCATGAGTTGTACCATTTATTTTCGGCATCGGGAGATCCGACTGATCTGAGGAATGGGAGCGCCTACTTACCACAGGCTCTTCCATCTGTACATCACCCTCTAGATCGATCACATCCTCAGCACTTGGAACCAAGTGGTCAATTCGAGGCTTGATGGCGTCATCCTTCGGTTCATTCTCTTCGCTGGCGTCGGAGTCCGATTCAGACTCAGACTCAGACTCAGACTCGGAGTCAGATTCAGAGTCGTCAGAGTTGTCAGAACCAGTCTGATCTTCTGTTTCTCTTTCATCCTGCTCAGCGTTCTTCTTCTTCTTCTTCTTCTTCTTCCCCGCTTCAACCTTGTCGTCCTCACTGTCGCTTTGCTCTTCGCTCGACGCGTCACTGGAGATCCCAACGACCGTTTCCACTTGCTCTTTCTGCGGAGGTTTGGATACACTCTTAGCCACTGCCGCCAGATGTCCTTGTCCGTTGACTCCATTAGTCACGCCCGGCTTCAATGGTAGCTTCACAGTACGCTGCGGAGCAGACTCTGGCTCCATGTCACTTGAGCTCGCGGTAGCCTCCTCAGTAGACTGCATCGGTTGGTGGGGATTGGGGGCAGACGAAATAGGTGGGGATTCAGCGTCGTCGGGCATTTGCGTAATTGTCCGCTTAGCTGTACTACTCGCAATGGGTCGTTTTGCGAGCTTTGTCGACTTATGATGCGGTTCCAGTGAGCCGGCAGCTACAGATGCAGGTGTAGGTTGGGATCTGGTGCTGGATGCTCGTCGCTCGGCTGGTGATGGAGACTCTCCGAGCTCCTCACTTTCGCGCCTGGGAGGCGGTGTGCCAGCAATTGTAGGGCCTATTGACTTCGCTGGTGGGGAAGTGGTGACGGGATTAGGAATTTCAACGGAAGAAAGAGGTAGATCGCGATGGCGGTGCTCAACTGGTGACTTCCGAGCTGAGACATTGGAGTCATTATTGGTATGCTGAGGCGACTCAGGGGAATGCTCCCATTGGATGTGAGACCGAGAGGGAGATCGAGAGTGAGTACGCAGCGATTCGGCGTTACCCTCCTCGTCTTCTTCCTGGATGGCAGGGAATTGTGCCTCCATGGCCTCCTTTTTATCCTTCATGGCGCGCTTGCGCTCGTAGGCAACAATTGCAGCATCCCAGTCCTGATCGACAGAGGGGAATCGCTCTGGGGCAGCCGTGGTAGGCTTTTGAATAACGCGAACGGAACCACGCTGGTCAAGGCCATCGGTGCGAGCTTTTCCATAGTCAACCCAGACATCGGCAACGCTCAGATCGGGATAAAGATCGAGATCCTCCTTCGTATCGTCGAGGATTTTCTTGATCGCAAGCGGTCTATTAGACGACAGGGTCAGCTATTGGACTTTATCAGGCCATATGAGTATATTATCGGGCATGTATATGAACACTTACTCCAGCTCCGGGTGAAGCTTTCCCCAATGTTCTTGGATCATGCCCGCGAGTCCGCCGAGCGAAACCTCTTCGGGGTGCTCAAGGACAAGCAAGAAGATACCGGGTTTCTTCAATGTCGTTGACACTGCAGATCCCTGGCTGCAGTCATCGTTGGTAGTTTTTCGCGCACCGAGGAAGGTCCGGCCCCAGCTGGAGCTAGAGCTTGAGCTCAGCTGCTCCCGCGGGAAGACTTTAATTGAAAGTCGGAGAAATACCATTGCGTCAAATGATACGATAGGCAGTAGATATGCATGCAGCTGAGTTTAATTGGAGCAATCGCGTGTGGGGGAGGGAAGTTGAAGTGACAGTAGTCGCTAGTAAAAACCGGTAGACGCTGGCGGGGAACGGTAATTAATGGTAGGGAGCAAATTAAGAAAGATGGGTTTATCAAACAGACATGACCTCTCAAAGAGACAAGGTGCCAAACACCAAGCGGGGTGGTGCAGGGTGAGTGGGTGAGAGAAAAAGAAAAGGTGCGGAGGAGATCAGAACGCGGAAGAAACTGGCGCGAAGTAGAGTCACGTCCACGATCCATCATCTGCCACATCGACTGGCCAATTTAAGTGAGAAAGACAACCTTGGAAGAAAATAATAATTCATTCATGCTATTTATTCTGCTTAGATCGTGCTCCTGACTGATGTTCTAAGGCTACGGGTGCCCGGGCTGTTCCATACAATGCAGATGCACCATATTATGTACATGTGTATATAGACCATTGGCAAAGAGTATACAAATACGATAAATTGTTAAAAATTTTCATATATAACTTCCAAAGAGTATCCCTGGACACAAATCTATTCCGGAGGCACAAAATACCTCCGGAAGCGATCATTGCGAGTCAAGTCCAGCTCAACAACGACCGCATGGCAGCTCATCAACAAGCTCGGGAACCTGTATGTCCAGAAATTGAGATATCCTTCGGGCAAGCCGCCAATGTTATCCTTAAGATGATCAGGCATATCGTTGTAGTGATTGCGCTTGTTACGGAGAGCCCTCAAGAGATCCAACATCCGCGACCCGGTGTACTTGCGCTGCTTGCCAAGATTGTCTTTGAAGTCTCGCGGCAATAACCGGAGGAAATCCATGTCAGGACCCATTACCCGCCTGGCTACTGATTCGAGGCAAAGCAGTGCGTCCGATGGAGGCTCGCGGGGCTCAAATTCGAAGTGGTCAGATACATCGCAGAGGAAGGTGAGACGGTCTGATGGGGGCCAGAAGAACGGGTGCATCAATACAGCGCTTGCATCAGGACTAGAAATTCATGTCAGTAAGTTAAGTGGGTTTCTGCAAAGAGCGATGCTTACCGCTGGCGAGGGTCTAGAGACAACATCGAGCGGATGAGATCATCTGCCTCGAAAGCGTAGTCGCCTAGGCGGTTTAATTCCTCCAAATCGAATTGGCCCTTGACGATGTTTGCCTCGCGCATGAACTTGCCATTCTTGTCGAATGGGTGGCTACCATGGGTCAGGACATAGTAGAACACGCAACCCAGTGAGAAGATGTCAATAGCCCTGGTGGCACGACGGTTTGTCTGTGGGTCCACCACAGCGGGTTCCGAGGACTCAGTGTGCTGGGAGGCGAGAGACATAGGACCGTCATCATCCACCAAGAGCTCAGGGGCACGCCAGCCGGAAGTTCCAGCGGCGTGGGCAGTAGTTGCCCGGAACGAGCTTTGGTTGTCTTCAAGTTTCTTACACAGGCCAAAATCCGAGATAAGGAGTCGCAATGACCGCGAAACAGTGCGGCCACGCGGCATAGCCACGAGAATGTTCTGCGGCTTCAAATCACGATGGACGATCTTCAAAGAGTGCAAGTGACGGACACCCTGGGTGATCTGCCGTAGTACGTCAGGCATATCTAAGCCGGTTTGAACTAGGTCGGGGTAGTTATCGGGACGCTCAATCACATCCTGAAGAGATGCTGGACAAAGCTCGAGGCCAATATACAAGAACCCGGTGGCTTGCTCACGGCAGAAGTATCGGATCACGTTATGGTGGTCATCGCTTTCCTGCAATAGGCCCACCTCGTGTGATGCAATGTCATAGAACTCCATCAACATACGCTTGACCGCAACGTCCCGACCATCGAACGAACCGCGGTAAACCACGGTTCCGTGACTGCCATGTCCCAGCACAACGTCAGTGAAAACCTGAAGCCGACCGATGCGAACAACGCCATCCATCTCCATAATCTCGTTCGAAACCGTCCGGACCATCTGGTTATCGGGCTCAAGTCGAGGCTGGGGGGCCAGGTTATTGACTTTCTCCACGACCTGATCGGCCCCCTCAGGGCCATCACCCTCACTGCCAGGCTTCTTCCGACGGCGGTGTGACTTTCCTCCTCGAGATCCACGAGCGCGGGGCTTTTTCTTCGGCTTTCCAGGTTCATCGGCGTCCTCGTCATCGAGCCCACGTGACGGCTCACGAATCTGCACCCGGGCTGTAGAATCTGGAGTGTAGTCTCGCGAGGCACGGGGGGTTGATCCGCCCTCTGGTGACGCATCATCCAAATCTAAATTCACGGTGACATTCGGAAGTTGTTGGGTTGGGGTAGATGAACGCTTGATATCCGGGGCACCACCGATGAGAGGGGTGGAAGGGGTCGAGAGAGAAGGCTTGTCATTGGAGTTGATGATGTTCTTGATGTCCAATTTCTGCTTGGCCAAATCTCGAAGGTGATGTGAGTTGAAGTAGATGAAGGTGCAGATGAACAGCAAAATCAACGTCACGACGATATCCAAAGCATTGTCCCAGCTCTTGCGAATGATGGCGCTATTTCGTAAGGCGGGAGGCAAGGCCAGCTCAGAAGGACTGCGAATGATATCTCGTGGTGTGTCATTGGAGAGTTCAGAAGTAGATGACCCAGCGATTCTAGGAATATGCGGACGGATGGTACGAGGGCCAGTGAGAGAGTGAACCCCGGCCAACGCATTCCGCTGTTGACGCGCACTCAGACTCATGAGCGCTTGCCCGTGGCGGAAAAAGTCTTTGTCATAGCATTGAGCCATAGGAGCGCGGCCCGTGGCCAGGGGATAGGTTTCCTCTGAAAATGCATACCAGCCCCCTGCCTCAGTGCAATCGATAAATACACGCATGTCCCTTTCATCGTCAAGGGATCCATAATCCGGATCCGGTGGCTGAAGAGGTTGTGAGAGCAGGACTAGCGGGGTCGATGCGTCTGGTGCATGCTTGTGGGCAGGACGAACCACGTCAAAGACTCGCGCCACAGGAGATGAAAAGCGCTGGGTATAGCGAGGCCGATCCATGCGCGAGTGGTCGAAACCCAGCACAACGCCATCATGCATACTGTAAATGTGGCTTTCATCCATTGTTCTGTAGTACTGGCTCTGTAGGTCCATATCACGGTTGTTCGGTGCCCATTCGGAGTATTTCAAGGTGCAAATTGGATCTCCCGTCTCAGTGTTTTGTATGGCCACAGCGTATTCAACCCGACCCAGAACCAAAGTCCCAGATGTAGATTCGCACTCATCGGAGTCCAGATCTTCTCCGTTCACCTTCCGACATTCAGGCGCAGCGGTAATTGGACCACGAGAACTAAACACCCGCAGAATGCTGCCAGTCCGGGCGTCAATGGTGTACAATGTAGTTTCTTTCCGGGCGGTATAGGTCACAGCGGGCTCGGTGCCGGAATAGGGGGTTTCGTCGACAAGCTGCTTCACAGTTAAGCCGAGCTTTTGCAAGCCGGCTTCTGGGGCGGGGCTGTAGATATAGAGGCTGCCATCTTGGCTCGGCTCGACAATCCACAAAAAGTCGTCTTCGGGGGCTGTATCGTCAAAACTGGAACGATTGGCTCGGTGGTAGATACTTTCAACCAGAGGACTGCTCGGGACCTCCAGGGCCCAGCGAGCAGCCCCAGTCTTACGATCACGGGCGTGAATGGTTCCATCGACGGTCGCCAGCAGCACAAAATCCTCAACCTCCCAGTCCTGCAAGGACCGCGCGTGAAGCTGCGAAGCCAAGCCTGCAGCGGTGCTGCTGGCTTGGACAGGAGGGGCTCGAACGGCACGGCCGGAGCCTGCCAGAGCCAGAGTAGCAAGGGCGCTCGCATCGTTGGGTTTCACGATGTGTGGTGCGGCCACCTGGGCCGCATGTTGTTTTGGTGACTCATGTGCTAGTGGCACAGAGACACGAGAGATATGGTCATGGGCTTCTGATTGCTGCAGCGGAGCGACCAGAGTTGGGAGAAGGAGGAGTGCGACACTGGCGGGCAGTGTCGAACGGACGCCCGGCAGCCGCCACCGCATTGTGGAGCTGTCAGCACAAAGATTGAATCGTAGGTGAACAATCGAGGGAACGAAGGAGGTAGCGGAGGGCGTCTCATGGGCCGGTGTTGAAACGGAGAAAGGTGTAACGAATCGAGTGATAGTGTGGAGCGAGTCGAGAATCCGGGTAGCGGATCATCCCCCAACCCACAAATGTTCAAAAAGGAAAACGGTGGGAATTCACTTCTAGTCTAATAATAATGCACGATGAAAATATGGGGAGAATGTCAGGATGCCAGAATATTGAACAGATGAAAGGAGAAAGATGAGAGAGCACATGTGCAGGCAGAGAGATTGTGTGTATTACACGTGTATAGTACAGGCTGTGACCAGTCTTTTCCCGCTTTCACAGCTGTAAGAGGGAGGTACGGGTACTTTAGCCACGCACGCCTTCGCTCTCCACTGAATACAGCGTAGCCTAGAACAAGAAGAACCTTCGAGAGTGTCTTAACCCTTATCCCCTTAATATGTACTCCGTAGACCGGTGCATAATCCGGATGTCTTTATAGACATGTTATATACCCCTTCATGTTTTCAATGTCGTATACACATCCTGACAGGAGTTCTCTGACTACACCTTGGATTGATCATTTCGAACGAGTCTTTCACTGTTGGTTTTCGAATGATTACGAAGATCGAACCCCCCAGCCTTTCAGGAGGGTGGGTCAGGCACCCTGCCGTCAGGGGCCAAGACCAATCAAGGGCGAGACACTACTTTCAGTTATAAGGTGTCATAAAGTATCAGAGTCCATTATCACCAAGGATTTTTTTAAAAAAGAACTATGTAGATCAAAACAGCACATCCAACGCCGCAACCCCGTCCTCGTGCCTTACACGGAAGTGCCAGTGAAGGGGAGGGGAAAAAAGAGAAGAAAAAAAAAGGTAAAGGAAAAGGCAAAGGAAAAGGCAAAGGAAAAGGCAAAGGAAAAGCCAAGATAGATACAGGTGTAGAAGGATGTGGCCACAGAAGCATGTCGAGAGAAAGGGACTATAGAACAAAAAGAGGGGATCACGTATGATCCGAAGAAAGATAAGAGGTAGATATTAAACGGAAGATGAGCTTAACCGCCGCGGATCATCCAGGTCACAGCAACAGCCCAACCGCTGACAAAGATGACGGTCAAGACGCCTGCACCTGCACGGTCACCGGTACCGATGCTGTTCAATACGGGGATATCACTGTCCGAGGAATTGGTGCCGGCGTTCGGGTTACTCTTGGAGGTTCCACCCGATGATGCAGTCAATGGCGCCTTGTTCGCGAAGGGAATCAGATTGGCAGATAGGACACCCAGCACAGCCATCTGTTGCTCCAGACCTTTGGTCCCGTCCCAAGTGCCTTGCTTATACCAGCGCATACCACAATATGTACCGTCATCACCACCCGAACATTGCTTCGCGGCGGCCTGGGCCGAGGTTTTCAACTGAGGGAAGATCAGGTCATAGGTGCCGGGAACGATTGTAGTCAACATTCCAAGCCAGTTGGTGAAATAGGCCTTGAAGGTGATCTGGTTCCGATCGCAATTACCGCTACCTTCGCAGGTGATATCCGATAGGATTTGGCCGCCAGCTCCATTAAATCCTGTGGTCGGGTAGAACTGTTGGGAGGTCTTGATGAGACCCTCAATACCCTCCTTCCATTTCGTTTCAGTGCCATTAGTCTAGTTCGAGTTAGCATCAATCGTTGTGCAGCAGAACAGGAGAACATACATAGTTGTGCATGTAAGCAGCACCACTGATGTAGGTGGCATAGTTGTAGGTCCACTGGAAATCGCCATGATCCGTGCACTGGGTGCCGCAGGTGGTGGTGTCGGCGATGTTCCAGTTCTTCTGCTTGAGCAGCGGGGTCGTGGCGCTCCAATCCCAAATGCGCTCGGCCCAGTCGGCATATGTCTTGTTTCCGGTGTAGAGGGCAAGGCGGGCCGAAAGCTGGAACAGTCCTCCGTTTGAGATCGCATTCTTCGTCAGGTAACCGTCCTGGTACGGCCAAATCTGCCAGCGCATACCACCGTGGCAGCTGCTCGTGTCCCAGCGGGGGTACTGGGTGTTGAAGACACCCTGTGCGAGGGACACCCAGGAGGGTTCCCCCTCTCGTTCGGGGTAGTTGAATTCCGCGGCGGTGATAGCAGCGAGACCCCAAAAGACTTGATCGTCGTTGCCCAGGTACTGACTGTAGTTGCTGGGGAAGAAATTGTCGTCGCCCTTCTGAAAGTACATTCCTTCCTGAATGGCGTCGTTGAATTGGCTGTCACCAGTAACGTACCAGTACAGAATAAGGGTCATGAACATGGAACCGCCCTCCCACCAAGTGCCATCGAATTTACCGGGGATGTCCTTGGACTCGCGAGCGTCGTAGTATTTCATCATGGTGGTAGCGACCGTCTTGGCCGCGCTTTTGAGGGAGTCTAATAGAAGCATTGAATTAGACACTGAATGCGACCAAAAAGGGGGGGGAGGGGAAACGTACTCTCATCATCGATGTTCAACTCGATAGCGAGAGCACCCTGGACGGCGAACGCGCCGCCCAGCAGAGTGGCCAGCCACTTGGACAGAATCATGTGTGGAATCTCAAACGAGCGTAAGGGTGAGCGGCATAAGGGAGTTGGATAAGGGGAATAGAAGTTTGGAGAGAAGGTAAAAAGGTTAAGAAAAGATGACGGGGTCTGGGAGTAACCGGCAACAGTACCGGGGGGTTACAGTCCCTGGTACAGTGGGCTGCCTCCGTCTAAGAATGTTGGGCTATTTTAACACATTAACGTTCTCTACTATTTCTATATATTCTATATATTGAATCTATATATTTGTTCTTATCCCTTCACAATGGGAGAGTATCGGATTACTATTGCTGAATTGCTGGTCTACTGCCCCTAAAAATAAAACGATGACGGTTAGACTCAGTTCCTGGCGGCAAATCTGGTCCTGCAGTAGGGAAATGAAACATTGGACTAAGCTGAGACATCCCTTGATATTTGAATTGATCTTAGTATAACTCTATCGAAAATACCTACAAAATACAGCATATATTGTCCAGACAATGCCGATCTGGTCTGTTGCCCACTTATGATCCACGGGGGAATGTGATCGTCCTGTCAAGGTCTAAGAGCATATGTACGGAGTATGGAGTATAACTCCATGTATTGCTATATCTACTCAAATGGACGAGAATAGATTATTGTAAGACAGAATATCAATCAAAAACTACATACTTCGCACACATCTATCGTGGTGCCTTGGCTTCGCCTTGGCTACGCTAAGCTTTCAAACTCCTTGGGCGACCGCTTTGAGCCTTCCGGTTTAGGAAGCGTTGGTGCCTTATTTCTTAGGTACCAATATCTGACCCAATTTGGCCTTTGTGCTTTAGACATATGTTTCAGGATTCTCTATTACGTTTAGATACGATGCCAAGCATTATATTCATTGGGGTTTGATAAATTCATCAAAAAGTCCACAGATTTAACTGCTACGAATGCAAGTTATGTACAACACAACATAGGTGAATGATGAAAGCGGCCGGTCTTGGCATCCGATCCTTTTGCTGGAAGATCTAGGCCCCAGAAGAAGATCCAAGACTATGTGCACCCAGTAAACTCGCGAGTGGAGAGGGGAGACTATGCAATGACTTCGAGGCTTCAAGCCATATCTGGGGTAACCGATACCACAGGTGTAGCTCATAGTGCACATAATATATCTACTTGGTACACTATACAAAATTCTATGGATAGATCATGTACTTAGTTGAACTTCTATTGCACATTTTTAGTCCCTTCATAGAAAGAGTACAGAGATGAATTCATCCATGTCATCACAATCGTGTCCATTACATCCGGTTGCGTTGGCGGGGAGCAGCACGGATGATGTTGTCCACCCGCAGGAGAAGCTAAAAGAAAGTCAGCATGTATTCCAAATTGAGCATCAAGAATAAAAAACAGTGAATTGCATACCTCGGCTGCCTCTGATGCAGACGAAACCACCGCCTTCTTCAACTTATAAGCCTCCACCACACCAAGCTCACGCATATCCGCAATACCACCACCGGGTGTCAACAGATCAAGACCGGAGCTGGTCATACCGTTGTTGATGGCCGAGCGCAGGCGAGTCACCAGATCGCTGGAGTCCAGGCCGGCGTTGTCGGCTAGGATGGTAGGCAGCTGCTTCAAGGCGTGGGAGAACGCGTCGACAGCAAGCTGCTTCTTGCCGGTCGTGTTCTGAGCGGCCTGTTCCACGGCCTTGGACATCACCATCTCGGCGGAGCCACCGCCAAGCGTCACACGGGGATCCTTGACAGTCTGCGAGAGGACGGCCAGAGCATCGTGGAGGGAACGCTCCGCCTCATCGAGAAGCTGCTCGGTGGCACCGCGCAGCACAATTGTGCAGGCCTGACCAGCGGCCACACCGGAGAACTTGATCAGGGTGTCCTCACCAATGATAACTTCCTCGATCAGATCACACCCACCAAGCTTGACCTGGTCGGGGTGCTCGAAGGTGGAGGCGATCTCACCACCAGTAACGAGGGCCAGGCGCTCGATGCCATCGAAATCGGCGTGCTCGATGGACATGATACCGGCCTCGGTGAACAGCTGCTCAGGCCAGTTGTAGATGAGCTGACGGTTAACAAAGCAGTTAATACCGTGGGCCTTAATACGCTCGACCTTTTGGCGCATCTTCTCGCGCTCTGCCTTCTCCAACTCGGCAAGCTTGCCAGTCGACTCAACCTTCACTCGTGCACCGAAAATCTTGACCTTATCTGTGTCCATGGCTGTGTTGGCAACCAGGATCTTGGCGTTCTCCAGCCGCTTGGGTTGGTTGACACCGACCTTCTTGTCCATAATGAAACCCTCATCGAGGTATGAATCACTCAGCTTTCCACCGGCCTTCTTGATAATCTGGATGTGAGAGAGGTCGGTGGATCCCTTGAGACGCAGAACGGCCTCACAGGCTAACTTGGCGAATTGGTCCCGGTCTTGCGACAAAACCTTCGAGCTGAGTGTTGTGCGAGCAATGGCGTGCAAGTCCTTGCGGAAAGCCTCGGGGTCCTGGCTGCGGTCGACCGCCGTAGCTTCGAGAGCGGTGAGGGCGGCCTTGCTAGCTATCCGGAAACCCTCGATGATAGTCTGGGGGTGAATCTTCTTGGCAACAAGCTGTTCGGCCTCACGCAGCAACTCGGCGGCCAAAACGGTGACCGATGTGGTGCCGTCTCCCACCTCATCGTCCTGAACCTTGGAGATGTTGACCAAAACCTTAGCCGCAGCGTTATCCAAAGCGATGGACTTAAGAATCGTAGCACCGTCGTTCGTCACCAGGATCTCTCCTGTCGACCTGCGAGAACAACCATGTCAGTATTTCCGGGGTTATATCAGCACATAGGATTATCGACAAGTCCCCCACGTACGCAGATTGTAGGATCTTGTCCATTCCCTTGGGACCAAGGGTACTCTTAACGAGGTCCCCGACGGCAATAGCACCTACAAAGGCCGAGAGACGGGCATTCTCGCCCTTCTCTTCAGTGACATCGTCACCAAAGATCTGTGTGGGATTGCCGAAAGATGCCTAGGAGGGGTAGAGGTGAGCCAGTGCATACACATATTTTCCACGTCCTTGCGGGTCAACTTGGGAATAGCATACCATGATGACCAGCTGAATAAGGCAATCGACCAGAGATCAAATGTCTTGCTGGAAAGGTTGAATCGACTTCTCCTGTCAACAGTGGGGTGGGAAAGGAGAAAAGTTGCCGCACGATTGGCCCAAGCTCCTGATTGGCTGCACTCCATCACCGCCCGCGATGTCTCTCGACGTTTCCTTTCTGTCGTGACGATCCCTTTCGCTGGAATTGGCCTTGTTTCTGGCAATATCGACAATGGCTGACTCCGGCGAACTCGCTCAGGTTCCAGCGAACAAGCGGCCTCACTCTGCTGTCGAGGCCGAGAACAGTGAGTCCCTGCATCGCGGATACAGTCCAGACCGCTCCCTCGAACGGAGGGTAATAGATACTAACTCTATGCGACTGCTAGGTGATGACTCTTCCGACGATGATTTCGGCCCTGCATTGCCCTCGGAGATTGCCCCTAAAAAGAAGCGGCGCAAGCTTCCTTTCGAGAAAGTCTACATCAATGCGCTACCAGTCTCCGCGCGGTACTCCAAGTCCCTTATGCACAAGGACCAATTGTCATTTGTGACTGTTGCGCCCTATACGGACTTCGTGATCACTTCTTCCGTTGATGGATTCGTCAAATTTTGGAAAAAGATGGCAGAAGGCATCGAGTTCGTGAAGGAATTCCGTGCTCACCCAGGCGAGATTCGGGGCGTAACTGTCAGCGCCGACGGCCGCAGTTTCGCGACAGCGGGACTTGACAAGACGCTGAAGATCTTTGATGTTATTACATTTGGTAGGCTTGCAATGTGTGACTCTTGTGGTTCAGTGACTTACTAACATTGATAGATCTCTTGGCGATGTATACGCTGGCCTTCGTGCCTCGATGTGTTTGCTGGGTACACCCGCGCGGGGCCTCGCTGCCCCTGCTGGCCGTGACAGACGAGTCAAGTAATACGATTCAAGTATTCGACGGACGTGGTGAAAATCCCCAGCCATTGCACACTTTGAAGTCGATCCACCGCAGCCCCGTGGTCTCACTAGCATTCAACAACGCCTTCGACTGCGTCGTCTCTGCCGACGAATCAGGAATGATCGAATACTGGAGAGCTGGAGACGGCTCTTTTGAGAAACCGGACAATGTCTTCGACCTCAAGTCCTCAACAAATCTCTTCGCATTTAAGAAAGCCAAATCCGTCCCGACAGCCATCACAATCTCCCCGTCCGGCGAACACTTCGCCACGGTTTCCTTCCCAGACCGACAAATCCGAGTATTTGACTTCCCAACCGGGAAGCTTTACCGCACCTACGACGAATCAATAACCACCATCACGGAGATGCAGCAAGCCGGAACAGCACCGTACGAACTAGACGAAGTAGAGTTCGGGCGCCGCCTAGGTGTTGAGCGCGAACTCGAAAGCGAAGCCACGCGCAACAAGATGAACGTCTCTTTCGACGAATCCGGCCACTTCATCCTCTACGGGTCTCTTTACGGCGTGAAATGCATCAATACCTACACAAACCGGGTAGTCCGCATCTACGGCCGCGACGAACCATTCCGAGCCCTCAACCTCGGATTGTACCAAGGACAGCCCCAACGCAAAGGTGTCGTAACCGTCTCAATGGCAGCCAGTAGCAACCCGCTCCTCCAGGAAGCCGAAGAACGCGACCCAGTCCTCCTCTGCGCCGGCTTCGCCAAGGTGCGCTTCTACATGTTCACGAACGAAACAGAGATCTCCAAATCCACCCGCGATGTCCAAAACGAGAAGCCAACCCAGGCAGCGGCCGGCACGGGTACGACAGCTACCAAAGCCGCTGAGACCGGCACTGCCGCAATCCTGCACACAACCTTCGGCGACATCCACCTGCGTCTGTATCCCTCGGCTGCACCAAAGGCCGTGGAGAACTTCGTCACGCACGCCCGGAATGGCTACTACAATAACACGATCTTCCACCGTGTGATCCGCAAGTTCATGATCCAAGGTGGTGACCCGCAAGGCGACGGGACGGGCGGTGAGTCTATCTGGGGTGGGGAATTCGCCGACGAGTTCTCCGTTCTCAAGCACGATAAACCGTATACGCTGTCGATGGCCAACGCTGGACCCAATACAAATGCTAGTCAGTTCTTCATTACCACGGAAAAGACGCCCTGGCTAGATAATAAGCATACCATTTTTGGGCGTGCGGTGCAGGGCTTGGATATCGTGCATAAGATTGAGAATGTGCGGACGTATAAGGAGAAGCCGGAAGTTGATATTAAGATTGTTAGTATTAGTGTCTCGTGATATATCAGCGATCTAGACAGTGTATTACAAATATGTGTACTATAAAGAATCTTGGAATGCCCGCATGCGTTGTACTATGTACTCTGTCACTTGATCAGACAGCTTGAAAAATAAAAGAAAGAAATGGCGAATATGACCGTAAAAAGAGAATCGACGCAGTCGTCAGCAGAAATCCACTCAGCCATAACCCTGGCCAAGAGCCCGAGAGAACAAGGAAAGGAAATGAAAGCAGAGAAAGAAGAGACAGAAAACCAACAATAGGAAAAACAAAGCATGAAGCCCATTATCCGTACCAAACACCAATAAATGCAACCATAGCCGGGTAGTATGGTATAGAAATAGCACATTTTGCAAATAAGAAAAAAGAAAAGGACATAAGAAACGGAATCCAAAATAATTGAACCAAAACAAGTTCTAAACCTGCCGAATGTCCACATCCCCAGAGCCCTGCTCGATCTTGGTCAATCGCGTCCGGGTCCCGGGTACAGGAGTACTAGTCTTCGCCATTGTAGAGCGCGAGCTACTAGCCAGGGAGTCAGCACCAAGGCCGGTGGGCTGCCCAGGCACGGGCGCGGCACCCCAGGCGGCATCGCGCGGAGCGGGCGGGGAAGCTGTGCTCAGCAAGCTGCTGCTACCGCCGTGGTAGAGATTGGGCCGTTTAGCGTCGTGGCGACGCTTGAGCCATACGCCGAACACGGCGATGGTGCTGAATCCGATGACCAGCACGATGAGCATGATGACCCAGCGGTAGTGGGAACTCCACCTAATTGTGGGATTTTGGTTAGCGATTAATCTTCGTCTTGATGCGGACGGTGGGGGTCTGATTGCGCGGTGTTCGGATCAAACGTACCATGACTTGTTCTCCTCTGCGGCAGTGGCGGAATTGTTTTTGGTTGAGCTGGCGCTGGAATGAGATGTAGAGGCTGCGTCAGATGAGGACGTGGTTGTTGTGGTGTCGGTGTCGGTGTCGGATGTATCCTTGCCGCCGGAGTTGCAGTAGTCATTGTACCAGGTTGAGAGGGTAGCTTGGTCTGCGGCGCTGCAGGAGGGACAGATGCTGCCGGAGGATTTGAGGCCGGTGAGCAGGGATGACTGACAGAAGCAGGAGGTCCAGGATGAGGCGTCGCCTGATTCGCAGGAAGTCTGCGCGCCTGTCAGGGTGGTGCAGGTCAGACCGCATTGCGGGAATTTACTGGAGGCAGATGTGGGGAGGATGCTGTCGGCGGCTAGGGCTGAGATTGTGAGAGCGATAAGAGCGAGGAAGAGGAATGAGAGGCGCGTAGTGAGTGACATGGTGAGATTGGTGTTTTGTTCTAATGAGGGGTGAGTAGCGAATGCCGGGCAAGTGAGAGCCGTCCCTGAGGCTCGATTTGATGTCTGGATAGGATGTCTCAGTCCATAGTTGCATATGTTAATGAAAGAAAGAAAAGCAAAAGACCAGAAACGAGGCGAAGATGGTTTTGGGTCTAGTCGGGGCCGAACGATTCCGGATTCAGCTTTTCGTTCTTTTTGTTTTTCCTTTCCTGACCCTCTAGAGTAATAGAGTAATCAGGGACTTGATTCGACTAATCTTAGATTTTAATTTCTTTTAATTACATATGTACCCTTATAATGTATCACGTAGTACTGAGGTGTAGCACTGTACCTGACTGTAGCACTGAGCGCATGCGTCTTTTAAATCTCCGCAAGCGGATCAACGTGGAAATCTCAACATTCTGACATTCTGACACCTGCCAGATCTTGAATTCCTAATTCCCAATGCTTCGAGATCAAATTTTATCTGGTTGTATCGCTGGATGCAGTAAATGATTGACCAAGTTCCACGTTTTTAAGGGATTATCACCTCGAAGATCATCCTTTTCCAATGCAAGGAGGTACATCCATAGATGTATATACATATGTATATTCTACTCTGTACATACACGGCGAAGGAACTGAGTTATCTTCTAAAAGAATTTAACCTGTTACTCATCCCAGTCCTTCATTAAACAAGGGCCCACGACGATCAGATGAAGCCGTTTCAACGGCTTTGTTAAGTGGAGACTGTAAGATTGTATAGACACCCTTGTACGAAGTATATAAATCGTTTATTCTATACTAAGTATACTTGAACCCGTCGGATTCTAATTTATGCCGATTGGTCCGATCTTTCGATTTGCTAAAAAGGCGTCATATTCCTTATATCCGTCTTCAAACATAGTCCTTGATATAGAACATACTAAACACGTCAGAGAATACACAATTTTCAATTGTTTACCTCGATATAATACAGCTAACGGGCAAAGAGGTCTTAGCCACATGGCTAACAAACTCAGAGTCAATGCGATGTGGTTCTCTCAAGCCACAGAAGGTAAAAGGAAATTGTATGTCCCTTTTGGGCCATTCGCTCATTCACGCCGGCCCGGTGTTGAGGGACTATCAACCCTATTTTATACCTATGTCCATGGCTACCATTTTAGGTGATCTACGTAAACAGATAACTATGTAACTATGTAGTTAAAAATGCATAGAACACCAAAGGAAATAAGAAAAAAACAAGCAATAGAAATCTAGGCCGAGAGGAGCCTTGGAAATCCGAGAGATCATTGGATAACACTGCACCAATTATTCCTCCCCGCATTCCCCTCTCCAACAACCATCCCCTTATACCAATTATGCCAACAATGCCCTCCCGCCAACTCCTCTCAACCCTAATAACCTCCCTCAGCAACACCCGCTGGACCTTAACCCGAACACTCCGAAGCGACAACCCCCTCGACCTAAACGGCGAGCTCCGCGGAACCGCAACCTTCACCGCACAACCCCCCACCACAACCGACCGCGACTGGCTGTACTGCGAAGAAGGCGAGATACCCAGTAATGTCGGCACAGGCGCCTTACCGCCGGGCCTACGATGGACAAAGAAATACATCTGGCGCCTGGGCAGCGACAGCGGACGCGTCAGCGTCTGGTTCGTGAAAGTCGCGCCGGGCCCGGAAGAAGCAGATTACCTATTCCACGACTTCGACTTTGATTCGGGTTCAGGATTGCTGGAATCAGAGTCCGGATCTGCGCAGAAGGATCCAGGCGAATTCATCGCGCCTCCCGTGCCGCCCGCTGTCTCGACCTCCGGCAATGAGACTAAGACTACTGTGCTCAATGCCAGGGGTAACCATCTCTGTATCAATGATATGTATCGCACAGCATATGCATTCCGCATTGAGCCTGGTACTGGGGAGGTGCTTAGCTGGGCTAGTCGGCATGTTGTGCGTGGCCCGAAGAAGGGGCAGGAGATTGTTAATCAGTACGAGAAGGGGGCATGAGATGGTATTTGAAGTATCCTACAATTGCGATGCTTCTCGCACGAGGCTACGAGCGGGTTCTGATAGATGCCTTACATAAACCTGGAATCGTCTACTGAGATCACGATCGTGATGGTATATGTTCATATATTCCCACTCATATCTCGATCTGGCTCCGCTCTCCCTTCCACGCCCATCCCACCGCTTCTCACAGCGTGTAAAGGAAATCCGGTCTTTTGTCACCCAATAACTCGATCTGGTTCTGGTCCAAGCCCTCGATCCAGTGGTCGCGTTCGCCGCGTCTGCGCTTGCCGTTTTCGCGCCGCAGCAGGAGATACTGCAGCACGGATCCACCAAAGAGGAACAAGACCAGGTAGCTGAGTACCACTCCGTGGCCTGGGTAGTATTTTGGCTTATCATCATCGCGGTAGATGTTGGATGCGACGATGCCGTTGAGATTTCCCCAGCCGATGATAAACCCGAGGGAGACGCCTCGTTTGTAAACACCTACACAGCAATCGAGTTAGTCCTGGCTCTGGTAATAAAAGATAAGGATCCAGGATGGAAGTTACCTTCGGTGTTGTTGCTTGTCCATGAAATTGTGTTCGCAATGGCTGGGTAGATGCCCATTGCCCCGAGGAAGCATCCTGCGTAGCGGGCGCCGGCAGACTCACAACCTAGTAGCATAGCGAATCCTATCATACCGAGGAACGAGACGGCGATATTGCAGAGACCACGCTGTCTTGTGCGATCTGCAATGAAACCAACTGCCACTGTCAGGACGGCGGCAGCGGCATATGGCGGTACACTCAGCAACTGAGCACGAATCGAGCTGTAGCCTGTAGAAGCAGCAAGTTAGTAAATAGCTGCGATATGCCGAACACAACAAGCAAGGTCAATATTCACCCTAGGAGAAACCATGTTAGCTCTACAATCTCCAACGCAGCGATGTGCACAACTCACTAGTTCACTGATAATAGTAGGCACGAAAAGCGAAAAGGCATAAAGCGACCCACAAGCCCCCATATAAATCACAGCCCCAGTATAAGTCTTCCAATCCTTCACACTCGACCAGAAGTACTCCATCTTGAACTCCTCATGCTCAGCACTCGATTGCTGATCCATAGCGAGTCTTCTAAGAACCCGCTTGCGATCGATATCCGACAAGAATCGTGCCTGATCAGGGAAGTCATAAACACACCAAAATGACGCAACGCCAATGACGAATGTGAGAAGGCCTTCTAGAATGAAAATCCATGCCCAGCCCCTCATATTGCCGATATCGTCCATCTTCGCAATCGCCGCTGCGAGCAGGCCGCCGAACGAACCTGCGAGCGCGGCCGCGGAGAAGAAAATCGCCATTCGCACGCCGAATTCTGAGCGCTTGTACCAGCATGAGAGGAAATAGCCTACGCCGGGGAATAGACCGGCTTCGGTCAGGCCCAGGAACCAGCGGACGGCCATTAGTCCGTGGTAGTTCTTTACGAAGCCCATGCAGGTCATGCAAATTCCCTGCGATTGATTAGAAAAATGCTAAATAAGAGGAAAGGAAAGTTTCACATACCCATGCCATCATAATAAGTGGGATAAATACACTCGGCCGCATCCGCTTGAGCAGGACGTTGGTCGCGGGCTCGAAGACTGCGTACGAGACGAAAAATATAGTCAGAGCTGCATTGTATTGCGCATTTGTCATGTTCAGGTCTGTTTGAAGCCCAACGATCTTTGCGTTGCCAATATTTGTCCTTGAAGGTGAGATTAGTTGATATATTCCTCGGGAGCGAGACAATTCCAAGGTTTCTCTTTTGCTTACCGATCAAGGAATGAAACGAGATAGAGTAGACTGAGCCATGGCACAAGACGGAGATCGAGTTGCCATAGTAGTTTACGATCCTAGCGTGTTTGTGCGGTTAGTTACTGTGACTTCGAATGATGTTAAACACAATTTGAGGGGTAACACACAATTACTGCCCTTTCTTGATCACTCAATCCTGCGTCTGGATCCTCAAATCCAGCCGCAGCAAGCGGATCTTTAGAATCGAGGATTTTCTCGGGGTCAGAAGACCGAGATTCAGTTCGTTTCTCGAAGGAATCGACACTCATGGTGCAAGATCGAACAGATCGGCAGGGGGGATGCTCCGAATTGTGCGATTTCTTTTGGTCGACCTGCGGGCTACTTAAGAAGCACGGAAAAGATGCCGCCAGACACTATGCAAGGAGGGGTAGAAACGCCAATCCTTTTATTGGGCAAATAGCTTTGTAAGATTGCCAGGGTCCAGCTGAATAATGGTACGACGGCAACACTATAGCCCGTATCTGATCCCGCGTGCAGGAATTGCCACATTAGCTTGGATCTTAATGTTGGGCCCCGGGCTGATCGGCATATATTTGAATGGTTGAGGCATGATCGGCATGAGGTCGTCTAGTGGAAGGTTCGAACAGGGGAAAAAGAGCCAGAATCATTGAACGGCAGTTGATGGAGTTTGATGTTCAGTTTTAAACCCAGAGGTTAGTGTTTAGTTTAGTTACTACGTGCGATAGGTTGTCCAAGCCGAGTCTGGGCATCCGGGGAAAATGAGCCCCCCGCAACGGGCTCCATCTGGGGTACCACGGGCTCCACTGAGCCAAGCTTTCCCGTCTCAATCGCACCATGTACCTATATTAAGGTATTGCCAAGTCCACGGTCCCCTTAGATTAACACAAGAGACCTCAGTCTTTCTTAACTTGTCTATGTGCACTCGACCGAGAGCAAATCGGTGACGTTGGTATGAAGGTTGATTCTCAAAGAAGCTAGTCGAAAGGCGCGGTTAACACCTCAATTATCTAGCCATTGACTGTGTAGTTTCTTGATCCACCATGGACGATGGGACATTTCCTCGTGTTTCAATTGGACAGTACTGGACTTGGCAAAGTAAAAGGATTGTCTCGGCATTGATCCCGTTAGTGATTGCTCCGTAGGCCCGAAGAATTCGTGCCAATCAACAGCCATAAAACGTAGTAAGGGGATTCCAAGAACCCGACCGTGACTTTTCTCTGGCAGTTGCGCTAAGCCTTGCACTTAATGTGCGCACGGCTTCGACCCCGCGTGGGGTTGATACACATTCGAATAGCTTGATTTTTCACTGGTGCTAAGTTGCGTCAGCGCACCAGTAGACTGCGACTGTAATTCGGGCCAATTGGGTATACTATAGTTTGCCATAGCGACCTAAACGACTAATTCTTGGAGCGCTGCGCAAAATGTCTGGGTGGTGGAATATACCTCCCGCACTTGAGCTCTTGGCAGGGCATTTGTCATATTGAGAAGTTTCTGGAATTCTGGCGACAATTTGCTTACCGGACCTGTGGTTTAACTTGGGTTTCGATAGTATCATAGTCGTAGTTTGTATTTGAGATATTGTGAGGTGTAAATGTACATAGTAATGATGGATGTACCCGGACAAAGGGCGACAACCGAGACGCTTATGATCAATGAAGCTCATTTTCCTTCTTGTAGCTACCTCAAGATCGAACATGCCTTCCACATGAGACGGGTACAAAAGCCAATTGACCCCGATCAAGGTCATAGTATTGTTGCGATACATCCCGCTCCGTCTGTCTACAGACCGTTCCTTCGTTTAATATCGCCCGGGCGGGATTCCGGCTTCATTGGGTTACCAAATCCATTGACACGTCCATGGAGCCACTTAAGAGTAACGGTGCTTACTGCCATGACAACGGCACTGAGAGTAAATAGGCCAATACGACCTGAGGTGGGCAGTGCTTCGAAGATAGGATATGGGTACCTAGACTAATTAGTGAGTGAGTTGAAAGGGCTGAATGATACACGAACCATCCATTTTGGGAGAAGCATTGCTCAATCCAGAACCAGTAGCCAAAGGCAATAGTGCCAGACAACGCGAGTGCAGGGAGTACAGTGATTGTCCAGGGTGGGGATAGGAGCAGCAGGTCAATCAACATCACCACCGACGGTGTTGCGTGAAAGCTGATGTCTGTAACTGTGTTAGTCGGGGAACCTCAAAATGTACTTTCTACAGACATACCGGCATGAAGGGGGATAAAGAGATCTTCTGGAACCACTAAACGCTCATCAATCTATACTGGGGTTAGATAAATGTCTGATTTAGCATCGAATTACTTACCAAGCGAAGACCCCAATACAAAACACTGATCACAACCTCAAGGGGGGCACTGCATATCGATAGGATGTTTTTGATGAGGAACAGTCGCCGGGACGAGGTGATATCCGCTAGTAGTGCAACCGCAAAAGTGAGTGTTGACAATGACAGGCCAATCACGGTCAGATATTGAAAATGCCAACCATATGCTTGATTACTGTCAAATATAAAGTTTAGCGTTGTTTTCCAATATCGAAACTAGAAGGATGCTTACGCATGGTTAGGGTTTTCGTGCATGCTTCAAGAATGTTAGCAAGCATTCAAAGTACAGTTTGGTAGAGGACCCATACTATTTGAATGACCACAAAAAGCTCGAAAGTCCGACCAACTGGAAAGCAACCCATCAGTGTTGATAAAAAATGACAAGTGAAAGGGCCATACTTACATGAACCAAGGCTGACAAGCCCCGTGAAGGGCTCGGCATCCACTGAAGCGGGTGCTTATCGACGAGAGATTTGGCCATATCGGGAAGCAAGCTGGGACGCAAGCGCTCTAAAGTTCAGTCCAATGTGTAATTTAGAAAGCAACTCCCCCGAATATGCTACCAAAGCGCTCAAGGAGCCAATGTGCATCCAAGGAACTCAATCGTTGGTTCGGTACGAGCACGTGACAGGCGGGACTAATCGGCTTTCCACGGAAAATCCCGGCTTCCCGCGGTATGCCGGTCTGGGTTATCGGATTATAACATAATCCGGCTGATTCATCGTTTCTTATCTCCAGGGCTCGGCTGGCCATGTGCTTCCCCACACTTTTGGTCTGCACTCCAAAGGCAACCTTCTTTGTGACTTGTGGTGAACCTGTGCTCTTTGTCTGCACGGTGAGGTCACTCGACTACTTAGTGGGTCAATTGATCATATTGAACAGAGCAATATTCTGTTTGATATCTCGTTTCATATCCGAAATCGGCCAAGATCGACACTGCCCTGGTTCCTATCGGCTTCCCTTGCCTTCCCATTGCTGAAGGGCAGTGGGACTCGAACTGTTTCTGGCACATCTCCCTCCCATACCTCGATGTGCTTGTATACTAGGTGTGGGTGTCTGGTCGATTATCGCTTCATCGCTACTTGGGGTCAACGAGGATTGAAACGCAGGAAGCGTGTCAACCCTGAGGTGCTTTCGGTGTAAGGACTCTCGATTGGACTGATACAGACTTGAAAATACCGAATGTGTATGGCGGCGGAAAAGTACATATTGACCTTTGGCTATTTCGAGCCTCTGTTATCTTGAATTGTCGCCGTGTGCTTTTTACAGGCCTCGGTACTCGACCAGGATACACTCCGACGTGCAATGCCTCGTCCTAGAAGACCCGGTGCACCAGAACCAAAGCGTCGAAGCCGTAAAGGATGTTGGTACGTTACTAGGAAGTCAACCCAAGCTTTGCCAAGGCTAACAATTGCACTAGGCCATGCAAAGCCCGCAAGGTAAAATGGTGAGGAGCACAATCCCTGCATGATACCGTGTAGCTAACGATTACTTATGTAGTGGTGAGGAGAAACCAGCATGTCTTAACTGCCAGCGACAAGGCGACCCTTGCGACTATAGCGTCCGTCTGAACTGGGGTGGAAGGACGAAACGCATGTCAATTGACTCGCCGAATTCACAATCTAGTGGGTATGGAGCTGTAATTGGATTTTCGGACTCATTTGCTATCAACAATCTGAGCCCAACGTCGTTCCCCACTCCAGAAAGCAACAATACTACAGATGGATTTATCAACACTCATCCCGAGGAGTTGACTTCGCCGGGAGCAATATCTCCAATTACACCAGCACCAGTTGGCCTTTTCGAATCCCCCAGGCTCAGTTCAGAACCTGAAGGAGTGACGTCCCCGGGGCAATTAGAGCCTCGGTTCTCCTCAACTTGGGCGGAACAATCTCCTCCATTGACGACATCGGTATCCTCGGCGCCTTTGCTGCAATATCAATTTGGACAGCAGAATTTTGGTAACCCGTCATATCTGGGTTCGATGGATCAGACGTCCGGTCTTGGTTCACTCTCCGCCTTTGCATTCCATACAAGCCCCGTTTCGCAGCAAGTCTCATACATGCGCCACCCTGTAGATGCTTCCAATCACTCTTCGGGTCCATCGATCTCGCACTCTCGTGGTGAAGGGCACCTTTCTCGAGGGTCGCATGATGACCAGGGCATGCACCTTGCCGCCGAGTCTGCGACAGGGCAAAAGAGATCCTCGGGCAGCCCGCAGAAAACTGGCGGCCTGTCCTCCATGCCTTTCGATTCACATAGAGTGCCGATTGCTGAAAGTGATGCAACCTCATCCCCGAGGGTCCACGAGACAACCAGCAACATGGGCTCTGTACATGACTATCACAATGAGTTGACTCCCGATCATCAGGTATTGGTAGAGAGCAATCATGAAGCTGATGAAACATCCCATGAGTCTTCAATGGCCCGGAACAAATGGCAAACATATCTGAATAGTGTAACCGACAATTATGGATTGGACTCCGGGCGCCCCGATCAGGATCTGAATTTCAACAACGATCATGCTGCCATAGACATCAACTATGCGTTGGATTTGATCAGTTCTCGATGGCGCAACGAGGAAACCTCACAGTCGAAAGCCTCTCAACCTGAGCCCGTACCACAGGTCCAGTTTTGTAGCGGTTACTATGCTTCTCCGGTACCTATCAATATCCCCAGGTACTTGTCTCCGCTTCCGTCGTCGCTTTTGGATAACCCCATCAATTTGATGTACTTCCATCATTTCCTGAACCACACTGCTCGGATGCTTGTCCCGCACAACTGCGATAATAATCCGTTTATCTCGGTTTTACCATCAAGTGAGTTGTACTGGTCTATGTTATGTTACTTTCAGAGAGCTGACTGAACAGTGGCAATCGGTGATTCCAATCTCCTCAATCTGCTGCTTGCGTACTCCGCTAGTCATCGTGCTCGATACCTAGGTCATCCAGAGCCCGCCAACAGAATCGCTCATTGGGTTAGCAACGTTTTCCCAACATTGCGTATGGCATTAGAGTCATCGAATGAAGACATCACTGATAGCCACCTGGCCACAGCCATAATGCTGTTGTCGTTAAAGATCGTTTCTCCGGGGACATTTGAAGTGCCTATAACCTGGGAGAGTCACCTGAAGCTTGCTCGCGATTTATTCCTTGCACGGAGCGAGAACATGGTGCAGCCTGGGAACAGGATTGGGGCCTTCTTCGCCCGCTGGCTGGGCTACCTCGACACGATAGGATCTCTGTCGTGTCGCCAAGCCGGTCCTCCACTAATGATATACCACTCCATCTTAAGTGCCTGCTCCGCGCCTGACGGTCATGATGAATTCGGTGTTGATTGCTTCACGGGGTTCACTCCCCGCACTGGAGTATTTCTGATACGTCTCGCACGGCTGGTGCAGGAATGTGACAATCAACGCTTCGATGAAATGGGTAACTTCCGACTTGACTGGCATCCGTCCGCGGAGATGGTTTTGGAAGCGCAATCCCTACTTGGTGATATCGATGGGACTAGCGAACTTACTCATACTATCTCGGACCACCACCGTGGTATTGAGTCCTCGGACATGATAGCCATCGAGGAAGCGTTCCGGTTTGCCGGTCTTCTGCATCTTCATCGGCGTGTCCTCGGTTCTCCATCTGACTCGTTTCCCGTGAATGAGGTCTCGCGCAAGCTCATTGACGCCCTTGGACGTATGCGCCCCGGCGCAGCCACCGAGGTCTGCTCATTGTTCCCGCTCTTCACAGCCGGTTGTGAATCCAAAGATTCAGTTGAAAGGACTAAGCTTTTGGACCGATTCTTCGTGTTGGAGAGCTCGGGCATGAAACAGGTACGCTCGTTATACTGGTCTGAGATTCGCTTCAAGGGATTTGCTGACACTGTATTCACTAGATTCAAAATGCACGTCAACTAATGCAACACTGCTGGGATAAAAACCTGCCTTGGATTGCCCTGGCTGGCGGTCAGTTCTTAGGTTAGCATCAGAGCCTTCCAAGGTTCTCGGTTTGAAATCTCAAAATTGAGTGGCCCTGCCAGCCTTGATTTACAGACCCTAGCTGCTCACGACATCTGGCAATGGTCAAAGCCAATATAGTGTGGAGACGGGATAGGATTAATCCGTCACCTTCAAAAAAAGCGATATATCGTGCGATGCCCTTAAAGGTTTGCCCTTTGGCGTGTCAGGTTTGTCCTTGTCTTCCTCTGTACCCTCTCGCCTTCTATCTCCAATCTCCAACTCCCAGTATTCCGCTACATATGCCTATTACTCTCCTCTGGTTGTTGCAAAACTAAATCATCGTGTCCATTCCACGACTGGCCAGCATTTTTCATTTCACAATAGGCCGAAATTGCAAGTTGCACAGAACAATTCATTCTAACTTGCATGTATGTATCCTCGTAGCTAATTTTAATATCACTGAGATACCGAATGGACTACAATCTTACACGATGTACGTCATCGAAATCCATTCCGCCGCGGGGTGACGGTGATCCCCTTCTCCATGCCAAGCCAGGCCAGCCGAGGCCGAGGCCGCGGCTTAGAAGGCTGTCGATGATTACTGAACTGTTGAAGGATATAACCGAGAGCTGGTATATAGGAGTGTGCAGTTAAACATGTATCTACTGGAATCAAAACAAGCTACTTCCCTACATCCATCATGATCTTCGATCCTACCCCGATTGAGCTTCCATCTTCTTATGAAAAGGTCGAAACAACCGGCCATGTCCTCGTCTCTCACTACCCCCTTGGCACGGCGGCAGTCACTCCGGTCGTCATCGTAACGCTGAATCGTCCTGCTAAACATAATGCGTTCACTCCGCAAATGGTCATGGACTTCGAGAAGCTCTTTCCCATCTTCGATGTCGACGAACGCGTGAAAGTCGTCGTCTTGACAGGCGCGGGAAAGACGTTCTGCGCTGGTGCAGACCTTGAGATTGGTTTCGGTAGTGGTAAAGGCAGGACGGCGGACCATCGTGACGGGTAAGAGGACGTCCATTCGATAGCGTGCTGTATACTCTATACTCTCGCTAATAAACCCGACCCAGTGGTGGACGAGTCGCACTGGCCATCCATAGATGTCGCAAGCCAACAATCGTAGCAATGCAAGGCTCAGCCGTTGGAGTCGGGATGACCATGACTCTTCCAGCGATCATCCGGTATATCAATCGCATCCAGAAAATATACTCCAGAGTCCCTTGCTAACATGCATATCCCATGTGCTTCTAGAATTGGCTATGAAAAGGGCAAATACGGCTTCGTCTTCGCCCGCCGAGGTATAGTTCTAGAATCTTGCTCCTCGTACTTCCTCCCCCGCCTCGTCGGTCACTCAAACGCCAGCTACCTCGTCAGCACGGGAGGAGTCTTCCCGCCTACATCTAAGCACTTTGGTGACCTTTTCAATGAAATCCTCCCCGACCCATCGCAGGTCCTGCCGCGCGCTCTGGAACTGGCCACTGAGATTGCTGAGAACGTGAGCCCAGCTTCGTCGTACCTCAATCGGGCCCTTATGTGGCGCGATACTGGTTCGGCGGAGGCTGCTCATCTCGTCGAGTCGCAAGTCATCAACCATATGTTTGAATCGGAGTAAGCGAAATCTACGTGAAGAGGCTGATTGCGGATACTTACGATCAAACAGGGACCAGAAGGAGGGCGTTGCGGCGTTCTTTGAGAAGCGGAAGCCGAACTTCAAAGCTAACCTTGATGATAACCCGCCGCCGAGTCTGCCGTGGTGGAGGGAGGTTGATACTGGCCGGAATCCTAAAGCAAAGAGGCCTTCGAATCTGTAAATCGAAAGCTTGATATTGGAAGTGGTGATGATGATTCAGGATAGCACTTTCAGTTTTCATTTCGTGCACACAAGACGGAAGGATCAAAGTCTTAACAAATGTCAGGAAAAATAGCTATGAATTGACCCGTTGTCAAAGGTCATTCCCAAAACATTCAATGCCCCAGCTACCAAGACCGCTAATGATATCGTAACAAAATAAACACCGGCCCGGCCAAAAAAAGAAAGTCACCAGATTTGGTTTTGAACCGAAGCTCCAAGAGCTTCAACATATTGACACGAACAAAAGGAAATGCTCCAATATCACAAGAGACAAAAAAAAGAGAAAGAAAGGGGGAAAAATTACGCGATGAAGTTACGGCGCTTACGATTGTAAGCCCTCTGATCTTTCAGCCAGTTTCGGTATCCCGCCACGCTGCCAATCTTCTCTCCGTAGTAATCGGGAACAGGGTTCGAGATGGAGTTGGTTGAGGGGTCGACACGGAACCGGCGAATGCGATCAAAGAACTCCTTCTCCTTCTACACAACGGAAACAAACCACGTTAGCACAGACCAGACATAAATCGCGCACTCATTTGTTTTACGACTAGCACTCACAGTATTGACGGAAGGCTTGTACTTCCTGTACACAAGTCCCCAAATGCCATTTCCAAGAGCCGGTCCAAGAAGCCATCCGACAGCACCGCATGCGGCGGTCGCCAATCCCAGGACAACAAACGGGTCGAGGCCCATAACCGTAGCGCCGAGATGTTCAAGGTCCTGACCGGACAGGATCTGCACGCCGACGGCGGTGCTGACAGCGGAGCTGGCAATTGAAGAGGCGAGGGAGTATCGGCGGCGGGAAGCGCGGAGCTTGAAGAACGAGTCCCAGTCGAGCTTGACTTCGTTGGCAGGTGCAGAGGTCGAGTTTGCGCGCACAGCGATGGGTAATGGCGAAGCGGCCTTGGCGTGTGGCCGGGAGTCTAGGTTCAGTTTTGCTGTGGCCGGGCGAGCTGTCGTGGAGCTAAGGCGTGTGAGCTGCTTGGATGCCATCCGGGGAGTGGTCTGGAGGGGACGCAGGGCGCCGGCGAGGGCGGGCGCGGCGGGGTTTAGTCGGCCAAGGGACATGGCTGTACGGATGGACATGCTGATGGGATTGGCGTTCATTTTGGGTGGGTGAAGTGGAATTGGTTTAATTGCAGATTCCAAGTCTTGCAGAGGTGAAGTGAGAATCGGAACCCTGGAGCCCTGGAGGTGGAGCTGGTTTATGTAAGCGTAGTGGCCCGGGCCGGAGGCCGCAAGGCTACCTAGGTAGAAAGGTGACAACCGACATCATCACGATCTGATATTTAAGGAAAACTTATAAGTTGCACTTCAAATTACTCCAAGTAGATGGAGACTATAAGGAGCCAAGAGTACAAGGGAAATGGAGGATGAAGAGAAAGACTTCTTCGAAACACAATGAGCTATCTATACCCCAGCTTTCTCGGGCTACAGAATAGATGATGGTCTGACAGACGGCAAACTGTTCCACCCTCCCAGTGACGACAGAAATGCCTCTGCCCTCTCAATGGTCGGGTCCTCTTTATCTGGAGTTCCTCCTCCTATCTCCTATGTTACCCTATAAGCTTTCCTTGCCGTTTCGTCTGACCAATAAGGCTCTTAGCTCGGATGGGCTATCGGGGTGGTAGGAAAACATGACAGCTATAACTGCGAAGCGCTCAATGTCGGGAAACAGTTTTCTCAGACGATGGAGAGGGATGTTGACAATGGCTGCATTAATCGGCTCGGGAATGGAGCGACACCCTGAAGGGAACTGGCGTTGTTTATTGCAATCGGCATAGCTGAGTATGAGCGAAAAAAACCTAGGATCTGGGAAGGAGGTCATGACACTTATATATTGCCACTCATGCCTCTTCCAGCAACAGGTTTGCATCAGAGAGACCCTTCTTTATCATCAATCCTTCCTCTTTGAGATCGCCAGAAGTTCCCACAGAGGGGTTCTGAGGCCACCAGGTCGGTCGGATTACCGTCTGGCAGATATCCGCAGTGCCCCGGAGGGTCAATTTTCCTTGCCTTTCCTCAAGACCAATCGCATTCTGCAGAACAAGTGCAATAGGTGTGTGTTTATCACTTCAATTTCGACCAGAGCTTACTTAACATCTAGGTTGTGGGGGTGTCAAACCTTGGAGACTCTCGTCCAATCACGTGCGACCATTACCATTCCAACTCTGGAAGCTTACCCGGATCACTATGGCTGCGCCGTCCGTCTCCAGCGATCACGTTGATTCCGATTCCATCCCCCTACCTCACAAATGGCCGAGAGCGACCAGAACATATCTTTCACTTCCCTCATGTCCGCCCTTCCCCCGGGGCATATTGTGCGGACATTTTCACACTTCAAAGGCCTACGGCTTGAAGCTGAGCAGATACTGAAGTCACTAACAGAGAAAGGAGACATCCAGTTTTTGGTCACCTCAATCTGTCGGCACGAACAATCAAGAAGCTCGACGAAGAGCACCACAGCAGCCTCGGGGCTATTAATTATCGTTTTCAATGGGAGGGGACGACTGGGCTGATTAAAGTGGTCCCTTCAGAACGCCACGGCGCAACCTCGAACAACCTCGGTCGAGCGATCGACAGAAAGCTTACTGCAATGGGAATTAGGTAGTCAGAGATGGCCTGGGCTGGAACATCAACCTATAAGCCCACCGCTGGTGCAGGTAAACAGGGGGACCAAGCATTTTTACCACCAGCTCGCTGCCCTAATGGGCTTCCAAGTGGGTCATGGCCGACGTTTGTCATCGAGGCAGGGGTTTCCGAGTCCCTCAGTCGGCTTCGTGAAGACGCTAGGGGATGGTTTGTCATTTCCGAGGGTCAGGTGCGCATTGTCATCATCATCTCGATTAAGTCGACCAACATCACGTTCGAAAGATGGCAACTAGCTCCCAGCAACGCTCCACGCCCACTCACTCGGGCATATCTTAGTCCACTCTGCGCACAAAACCCCAATATCCCTCCCCTTACCATCCAACCAATTACCACCCAGCAGCCAGACTCAGTACAGGAGGTCTACGTCGAGCCTAACAGAGTTGTCGGGGCCCCGCTAGTCATCCCATTCGTTGCTATTCACGACCGAGTCCCGGGACCAGGCGAACATGACATCCTTATTGACGCACAGAATTTTCTTGAAATCACTGAGAAGTTATTCTGATATGTTCTGGTTTGCTGTCGGACTCACTACCCGCCTTCCCTAGATGCTTCTCCAATTTTCGGTGTATTTTTACTTAAGATAGTTCTATAAAGAACTATGCCACTACTGACCTATTATCTCGAATTAAATATATAAGAGAGCTAGTATGTATATTCCCCTTTACGGTTAGAGCTGGCATCTCCTTAAGCTCCTCAAGGTCGAAGTGCTTCGTAAACTGCTCTTTACTCTACCTGTGAGCACTAAGAGTAGTTCCATCCTGGAGCTTTTCACAAATCTTCTGCATGTTCTGTGGTCTTCGTCCCACATAGTTCGGACTCTATATAATCAACAAGGAAGAATGGCCCCCCCTCCAACCCAATTACTGTCGACAGGTGACTTGCTCATACATATGATCATCCTATGAGCGCAGAAGGCTAGCTGTATTACTCGGCGGGATGGTAAGCCACTAGGGAGGATTGCGATCTCACAAACAATAAAATAGGGGCTGATCGCGGGGAAGGAGAACTGACCAGTAGCAGAGCTCCTAGCCCATGCGGCATTCACTTCGCCTGGGGGCCTTACAGTACCTGTTTTGCCCAAGAAGAGGCATCTTCCCATGAACAGATTGTAATACACTCGGAAGTCAGGCCATTGGCTCATGCAGTTCATCACCTGCGAGTACGTACTCAACGAAAAGCCACATCAGGAATGTTCAATGCTAATCAGGCATCCAGTGTGTAAATCAATTCTTTCTTTGGGTTCAGGCGCCCAAACTAGGAAGAAGCAATATACTTGATCAGAGATATAAAAGTAGAGCTTTCCTAACTGCAATCACCATATCTTCTCAAGCAAAATAATTCCACTCAATCCATTTCAGCCAAATAACCTGACAACCCTAGTTCAATCATGAAGTTTATTTCTCTCCCCGTCGCGCTTGTTCTTTCTCTCTCTGCCCTAGTGACCGCGAGAGACTGCACAGAAGGGGTTCCATGCAGCGTATCAGACCCGACTCCGTCGAAATGTTGCCCCGGCAGATACGGAATCTGCTTCCCAGACAAGCGCAGTTGCGACTGTGGAGCGGACTGCTGGCATTCGTAGGTAAGTGATGAGACCTTGTATGTGTTATGGAAGCTGTAATTAAATAGCGTGTTTCTAGCTTAGCATGATCCAAGATATATACCGTCCATGGATGTGTTACCTTGGTTTCAGACCCCCAACGCCAGGCCAAGTTGGGCGGATACCTTGGATAGGGCATTCTGTGGGCTATAGGCTTGTTGGCCTGACAATCTTGTCCATCTTATACAAGCCCTCAGGCAAGCTTGGTTTACTCCGTGTGAGATATTAGCTGGACCGCGCAACTCATTTCTAGTTAGACAGTACACACTCGTTTCTGTTATTTGCTCAATGAATCATTTGACTTTTTGCCTTTTCTTTCAGCAAATTCGACCGTTTCAACCGTTTTCTTATTGATATTCCGTTCGCAGCACCTCAACCTCTCTTTGGCTCGACCTGCTAGGTCTTATTTTGTATACTGCCAAGGTAGAATTGACCAAGCATTTTGAGATTGAGTGGTACTGCACAGCAGCTAAAACGGGACGAGTTGGGAGCAAAGAGAATCTATGTAAATCTTGAAAGTCGAAGACAGATGACCACTTTAAGCCTAGTGTCTATATGGATACAGCAACCTAAGCTAGAATTCCCATCGTGCATTTCGCCCCCTTTCGCTTTACCCCTGCAAAGAACTTAAACGCACTAGATCTTCCCTTCAAAGCATGAACTCAGGACTTCTAAAATACTGATAAGGCATGGTGATCGTTCCCTGATGGAAACATCCTACTGGCCTTGTGAGATGGCCTTTGGAGGCTTCTCGCTCGGCGCTTTGAGTGGGTGATACATCAAAAGGAAAATCGGACCTGGGATTCGACCTTGGATCGAGACTTGACCCTCGAGAAGTTTCTTGACGACATGGGCCCATCCAGTGGAACATCATTGTTAATCGACTTCTGTCCTTTCTAAGAGTGATAATAAGATAAAAACTTCTTTTAAAGCCTGCCGTCGACTATTCCCATACTAGAAAGAATATGATGAAAGAAAGCGAGTGTAAAATTGAACTCTTAAGTCAAGAGTAAAGAAGTTAAATTAGGAAACGAGTCCACATCAGAAGGTTCCTCTCACCAACCCCTTCAGACTCAGCTTCCTTCACACTATCCACACAGATGCCCGGAAATCAGGGCTCCGGCTCTCGAAGAGACGGCACCCATTTAGTAGGTGCAAACGCAGACGCTAAAACCAATTAGTAAACCGAGCAAGTCTACTAACCCTAGAAGGGAAGATCGCTCACCTGTTGTCGTCACAGTGGCCACCGTGCCAGCCCTGACCCTGAGCCATGCACTACAAAGTTGTTAGAGACCCTGAAATAGAGCTTGGCTTGTCAAGCCAATGAAGACATACAGAAGCGCTGCAAGCAGCATCGCCGGCACCCCAGATGTCGCCGACCTGGCAAGAGCTGCGGGCCTCGATGTTCTCGGAGGGAGCAGCGAAGGCGATAGAGCCGAAGAGGGCAACGGCGCTGAGGAAGACGGTAGAGAACTGCATTTTGATGATTTGGTTGAAAGACGGATGTCTTGAAAAGTTGAGAATTGGTTTGAAGCGGATTCGGATTGGAATTCGATGAGTTGTTGAAGAAAAGAGCAGAGAACAGCGGGCGAGAGGAGGCTATTTATGCTCAAGATTTAGAATATCTTGATCGCAAGAGAGGCCTATTTTTAGAGTAGGTCCTCATCCTCTCGAGGTCTTCTCGTGTTTACGGATGACTATCATCCCTCTGCTGTCTCAGTCGTTGCAGTGAAAAGTATAGATCGGCAGGAGTCAACAAGTATACGATGTCGATCGGACATCTACATTCGTTGTTGGGGAAGACCTCGTGTTCTTAGGTAAGTATCATCCCTCTGCTGCCTCTGTCTTTCCAGTAAAAAGTATAGATCGGCAGCAGTCACTAAGTGTACGATGTCGATCGGACAACTGCCTTCGTGTTCGGGCGGACGATAGGACATCTTGTCTGCGGTCGAACTTGACTACACAGAGTGTCTCAGAAGCATCTCCAACCTTTGAATTGAGCTGGTGGAAAAGATATGATATTATACTCATCAATCATCTTCAGATGCTCGAGAATTGTAGCAGTAAAAGGCAAACACTAAAATCTGGGGTTAAATATATGAATATATGCGCCCACATGAGGATACGACCGACACTATTGGACGGCGCGTCTAAAGATCTACATAGATCGACAGTGGCTTGGATATACGGAGTACGAGCCTCGTCCAGCTTTGAGGTCTTGTTAGCCTTGGCGCGTGAAGCGCCAAGGCTCCAAAACAACGTTTTCCTAGTAATATACGAGCGATTTTCTAGGAGATGGGCTGAGGTTCCTCCTAAGTTGCTTAATTTCCTGGCAATCAGAAACTGATTGTGGGCACGACTGCCTTTCCCGTGGCCTTACTCCTTTCTTCGGCAACATTCCATCCAGATTCTAAGTTTCGCTCGTATACTTAAAAGTTACCCAGCTCAGCTGCGGGGGTCGGGCTGAGCTGCATAAGGGGTAGAGATTGAGGCTCTATCTATCTAGGGGCATGGTTTGCCAATAATCGAGTCAGCTTTGATGGCGCTCAAATGATCCCGGTCGTGTCCTCAACGTTCGATTTCGATTTCTATTTGTATTTCTTTCAGAATGACCATGTTGGTCTTATCACAGAAATACGATTCGTCGCAGAAGGCAAACACCGCAAGGGCTGGGAATGTGATACAAGGACCTTGGAGTCAGCTATATCATCTTTCAATACGAGGGGTCCATAAATTGACTTTAACGGAAAGGGATGGCGGATATACCCGCAGACTCAATATGAGAAGAAAAGGAGATTCTTTATAGAAAGCATAGAAAATGTACACATAAAGAAGTACAGTACAAAATGTCTAATCCGTAAGTATTATCAGACTGCATTTGGCCGAGGACACTAGTCTTCCTTTGGCAGGAGTCAAAATTTCAGGTTCTGCATACTACAGATCTGCATCTGGATCCCTGAATTAGGGTTAGCTACGAGGGTCTTTAGGGACCATCACGACAACCGTCCTACACCACCTTAGTTCTCTGCCTTCCCACTCGACTCATACCTATATAGTATATATATGTAGTATATAAGAGTAGTCAGCCGCTGATACGGCCTTGTTATGTTTGTTTGGGAGGTCTTTTTAGTGATCTTTTTACTGGTCTTTTTTGGTAGTCCTTCAGATGTACTCTTAGGTACTTCCTAAGATGTACTTTTCTTATAGATTTTCTTCCCTTTATTAGTGCTATCTAGAAGGATAAGAAGAATTAACCATCACGATCTGCATATGTCACATACTTTCATATCTAACCTTGTCACATTCAGGGATGTCAGAGCCTGGTCAGGTTATTGAAATCAAGCAATTTTATCAATGCATACGAAAACCATTAAACTCCTGCCCGGGTACATTACTACTTTCTGCCGAGCAAAAGGCCGGTCGCCGTGATGGTCCCAAAAAGCCCTCGTAGTTAGCATTGAAACCCCGAAATTTATATAGTTGACGGTAATATAGAGCGGTACGTCTCTAGAAAGGTGCGGGTGGTACTCACTTGATTCCTTGCTCCATGGTGATTAGGGGTATCTCGGCTTGAGCTCATAGAGAATATTGAATGTTACCTTGGATAGAAGATAGACATGGGATATTGGATAGAGATGAGACGCCGGCCCGGTCACTCATCGGTGGAATCCTGCTAAACTTGGAGGTCTGGAGACCGCCTTTCCCCTTTGTGTTTTATTGGTTGAATTCTACCTCACCGCCTGTGGGTAGTTCTGCCATACCCTATCGAAGTTACTATTTGTACGCACTATTGTTACAGTTCACCGCCTATAGTTCTGCGAGCTATATTCCGTACGGAGTAGCAGTAGGGCCGGCAACCGAGGGTGCGAGGCCGCGGATCAGGCAGAGAGTAGCGAGGATAGGGC